CAGAAATAAAACTTAAACCAACTAACCAGATCGGAACAACGACGAACTCGAACGGAAACCAATCTGCCCGGAAACTTTGAAACCAAAAAAACTCGAATCTGCCCGGAAATTTTGTATATTTTCCGGTTGATTTCAGGCGATGAAACTGGACGACGAAGACGACCACGAACTGGACGACGAAGACGACCATGAACTGGATGACGAAGACGACCACGAACTGGACGGAAGCGATCCAGAGTTCTCCGGACTGCTGCTGGGCGTGAGGAGCAGATGTGTTGCTGCTTTGGTGGTTATTTTGGAGGGTTGACGATGGGGAGATAGGGCACGGTAGGGTTTTTGGTTAGGGAGATGGAGGTTTGGAGGTTGGTTGACGATGGTGGTGGTCGACGAAGGTTGTTCGTGGTTGCTGCTGGTTCACGACGGAGAAGAAGACGAAGCTGGCGGCTTGGGTGGTCGCTGGTTGCTCGAATGGGGACGATGACGAATAACGAACGGGGGAGGGCAGTGGGTGGTAGGCGGGCATGGCAGTAAGGTTTGGGTGGTTTTAGGGTTTGGGTGGTTAGGGAGGGTGTTTGGAGAAGAAGAAGAGAAGGGGGGGTGTGTGAGGTGTGACGGCTAGAGAGTTTANTTCAAAAGGGATGGGGTGAAAATGGGCCGGGTCAAGGGGTTTTGGGTTGGGTAGAGGTGTTTTGGACCTAAATTTTGAATTGAAGAAGAGGCTCAATTCCGATTTTCTTCTATTTTTTGTTCTATTTTCTTTTACTAATTAATAAAACTAAATGCTAAAATTAAATTATAAAAAACAAAATTATCTTAAAATACTAATTAACTCCTAATAATAATTATCACACAAAATTAAACATCAATTAAAATAAAATCACACAATTTGGACATTAAATGCTAAAAAATGCAAAAAATACATATTTTTGTGATTTTCCATTTTTGTATAACAAACTTGATTACTCTTAATTGTAGAATTAAATCCTAAATGCAAATGCGACATATTTTTTGTATTTTTTATTACTTTAACAAATAAACATGTCATACAAAAAATGCAAATAATACAAGGAAAATAACAGAAAATTCACAACAATTGCAAACAAATTAAAAATTATTTTATTTTGAATTTTTTTGGGAGTAATTCATATGCAGGGCAAATATCACATGCTCACACCAACAATTAAGGAGAATCGGAATCAATCATGGGGAGTCATGATTCTGTCTTCTCAACATATAAATAGAGACGAATGAACAGGAGTAGCAAACAAACAAGGTCAGCTATATAGACAGAAAGAAATAAGAGATGAGCTAACACAATCATATAGAAGTGATATAAAGAGGTAAAAGATTCAGCAGAACATATGCGAGGCATGGTGAGAGATTAAAAAATCAGGTAAACAGGCTAACACACAGAACCAAGGCAAAGAAAATCATGCTAACACACAGAAACAAAGTAAATAAAATTCTTTAAAAATTAGGGTTTTTAATAGAGTCGAGTTAAAAAGCAGTAGGAACATAAAATTGGTCAAAATAAGCAAGAAAAATGGTTTAATCATGAAGAAATTGGTTGGAATAGGTGTAGAAAGAACTCCGAGAAAACCCTAGTTTTTAAAGAAAGTAAAATGGTTTAAAAAATGAGGATCTTTTAGAAGAAGTTCAAAAATAGGCAAATCATAGAAGGAGATAGGCTTAAAGCATGAAAATAACACAGATCTGAGAGATTCAAAAGAGGGTTAGGGTTTCAAGAGGAAACCCAAATAGAAATTGAAAGAACCTGTTGTAACTTCACAAATCGTAACACATATAGTGTGATTTTGGCCAAAATCACACCGGAGAAACCTCGAACAATAGAGTCGGAAACCCTAGATCCATATCAACATGGCCTAGGGCCCTTGAAAGCCTTAGAGATGATTAACAAGGTGAAGAGAGACCCATTGGAGGCTTGGGGTTGAATAAGGTAGCCGGAGATGACCGGAGAAGGAGGGGATTGATGGAGTTTTAGGGTTAGGTTTGAGAGAGAAGAAAAGATGAGAGCATCTGAAGGCAGCGCCCTTGCAAAAATGACTTAGGGTTAGGGGTCGTTTGGAAATTAAAAAGGAAAGGAGGAATAAGGGTCGTTGATCTTTTTAGATCAACAGCCAGGATTTATGATGGCTTGGGTCGGGTAGATGTGTATAGGGTCTAGGTCGGGTGATTGGGTATGAAATTGGGCTGGTAAGGGGTCCAATTTAGGCTATAATTGAAAGCCAAATTTGGCTATAATTTAAATAGCTAATTTTCCCCTATTTAATTTATAAAAAGAATAGGTAATTTCTGAAAAATAATTTAAGGTGCCAAAATGATTTAAAATACATAATTGACATTTTTAAAAATATGGGGTCATAAGTGTGTGGCTGTGAGACAATATTCTCACTAGAAATATAAGTGAGTGAAGAGAATTTCGTAGAAGAAGAGGATGAAACAGAAGGAGATCTAGAGGAAGCGGCTGAAGGGGCGGGAGCAGACTTGCCAGAAAATTGTGCTATATCACTACAAGCTATGAATGACTCCATGGGATATAGAACTTTGAGACTCAGAGGCTTTACTGAAAAGAAACCTTTGGAAGTCTTCATAGATTGTGAGTCTACACATAACTTCATAAATGAACAAACAACCAAGATACTGGGGTGTGAAATCCAAAGAATTAAACCACAATTGGTGCAAGTAGCTGATGGAAGAGAGATTCCAACTGACAAAATGTGCAAAGGGTTCCAATGGATAATGCAAGGAACAATGTTTAAGGATGACTTCCTAGTATTCTCTGTAGGTAAGAGTGACTTGGTGCTGGGAATCCAATGGATGTATCCTCTGGAAGACATCAAGTTCAATTCAGGAAATTGTTGGTGGAATTTGAATATCAGGGGAAGATGATTACATTAAGAGGAATCGAACCAGACTTTAAAGTTGTGGGTTCCAAATCATTAGAGAAGATGCCAGTCACTAGTTCTCAATTTTTCATGGTTAAGGTTAACAAAGCAGAAAGTTCTGAATTAATTGAAATGGATAAGGAGGATGAGCCTGAGGAAGTAAAGAATTTGCTAGAGCAATATAAGGGAATATTTGGTGAGCCTCATTAGCTGCTTCTAACTAGGGGAGTCATTGATCACCACATCCCGTTATTGGAGGGTAGTTCACCAGTAAATTCTAGACCTTATAGTTATTCACCAGTGCAAAAGAATGTAATTGAAAAATTGGTGTTGGAGATAAGAAGTCAGTGCATAATTCAATACAGCTCAAGCCCATATGCTTCTCTTTTGGTGTTGGTGGGAAAGAAAGATGGCTCATAGAGATTATGTATGGATTACAAGGCTCTGAACAAACTAACAGTCAAAGATAAATTTCCCATTCCAATCATTGAGGAATTGTTAGATGAACTGGGGGGATCTAAAGTCTATTATAAAATAAACTTGAGAGCTGGGTAGCACCAAATTAGAATGGCAACAACAAATGTGTACAAGACTGCCTTCAAGACCCATTCTCGTCATTATGAGTACTTGATCATGCCCTTTGGGCTAACAAATGCACCCTCTAGTTTTCAAGGTCTAATGAATCATATCTACCAGGAGCATCTCAGGAAATTCATCTTAGTATTCTTTGATGATATCCTCATTTACAGCAAGAGCTTGGAAGATCACCTACAACACATAAGAATTGCTTTTGAGTTATTGGTACAACACCAATTACTAGCTAAGAGAAGTAAGTGTGTATTTGCTGCTAGCAGAGTGGAATATTTGTACACACTACACTCCCCAGACCCTATTAAGTGGAATTATACTGGGTTGTTGTTGTTGTTGTTGTTGTTATTATTGTAGAGTGGAATATTTGTAGCACCCCGGGAAATTTTGAAGTACTTAAGCACTATTTAAAAAATTGATGTGTGCTAGTTATATTACTTTATATGCAAATGAGGGTTATTAATATGATGGATATCAATTGGATACGATAATAAGTGTGCGAGGCATATAAGTGATGTGGGGTCTAAGGAGAGGCCTAAGTTCAAAAAAAGTTGGAAAATCTCATGATAGACTAAAGTTCCAAATGAGTACGTGCAAGAACAAACTTTGGACGGGCATATATATATATATATANCTCATCAAACTGTTTGTCATTTGAAAATATATACAGAAAGTTATGGCCATTTTACTGGACCTATGTCATATGCGAGCCGAGATGCGCGACCGCGCATATTTGGGTGTTTTTGCCTTGTGTGCACGGCCAGATGCACGGGCACTTGCCCAGGTGCACGTCTGTGCACGTAGAAGCCATATAAATACCCCCAAATCCGGGTAAGGAGAGTGGCTACGTCATTTCTTTGATCAAGGGCTTGCTCTACTAAGGGGAATCCGTCCTATACTTCCCTCCTATGAACCAATGTAATGTTTTTGGAGTATTTTGAGTTGATTACTACTCCTAAAAACTTATATTAATAAGGATTAATCTTGAATATCCATATATTTCCAATTAAATACCCAAATTGGTCAAGAACACTATAAGTTGTAATTCTCAAGAGTTTCACTATAAGAGTTATGTCTACCATCTTTAACTAATCTATGGTGATTAATTATGTATGAGATATGTGTTATGACTTATGAGATGGTGATTGGAAGCCATAAGTGCCTAACCTAGGTTGTGTTGATATTGTAGAGATTGTAAAATGAATTGATTGATAACATTTATGGGTTGGGAGTGAGGTCTTGGGCATGCATGTGCTAACGGAAGTTGTGAGGTGAATCATTAGTGTGGAAGGAAGTTGTTAGGTGAAGAAATTCTATTGAAGGAGGTTGTAGGAAGATATTCACGCCTAGTATTTGATAAATTCTCAAATAAGCTAGAACCATGATCATTTTCCTAACTTTGGTTCAATTTGTTATATTTTTAAAATAGATTGAAGTTGCTAAGAAATTTCGGAACACTTTAGAATTTAAGGAAGCTCAATTAAGGTATGTATGGCTAAATTGTTCTCTTAGAATTGAACCCCACAATATCCATGTAAGTCCCGAGTTGCTCGATGTGAGTTGAACATTCCGAATAAGTTGTGCCAAAAGATATCCATGTTCAGTATGCAATTTAAATGTTCTTGTTATGTTATACTCTTATTTGAAGAATGTGTTCAAAGTATGGGTTGCATGTTTAAATGCCTTGACATGAAATTGTGTCTAAAACGAAAGCTAATGACAATTCTGTAAGAAATCTCAATGTAATAAAAACTCCCAGTTGCTCACATGTGTGTTTAAATATTATGAAAAGAAATGCTTTGTTATTGGAAATCTATGATGATTGTCGAAATGCAAAATACGAAATATGCGATACAAAGCGAGAAATACTAAAAGTGAAATATGAAATGTGAAATATGGAATACGACCAACGTGCCAAGTGAAATAATACAATCGTGGTTGATGTCTCTTATGAGATGGCCTAGCCGATCGGGTCGTGATCGGACGCTATGTCGTACACATGGTAGTGACTCTATTGGAAATTGTAATATAAATTGCAACTGTGGTTGATGTCTCTTATGAGATGGCCTAGCCGATCGGGTCGTGATCGGACGCTATGTCGTACACATGGTAGTGACTCTATTGGAAATTGTAATATAAATTGCAACTGTGGTTGATGTCTCTTATGAGATGGCCTAGCCAATCGGGTCGTGATCGGACGACATGTCGTACACATAGTAGTGACTTTATTAGAAAACTATAACTGAAATTGTAATTATGGTTGATGTCTCATATGAGACGGCCTAGCCGATCAGATCGTGATCGGACGCCATGTTGTACACATGGTGGTGACTGTATTGGGAATTGAAATCAAAATGGTGAATAGTGGCATATTGGTACTAAAGACTTCCCCGACTTAAAATATAAAAATTTAATTGGAAACTTATCTTATCCCTTGTTTGACGTATGGTAAATGTTCAATGCTTTAACTGATATTATGATTATTTTTACTTGCATTATTGCTCATTCTATTGAGGTGGTTTTTAATACATACTAGTACTATTCGATGGTACTAATGTTCCTTTTATCGGGGTTGTACATCTTTAAATGGATGCAGGCAGGTCCACAACAGGTAGCGTTGATTAGTAATATCGGTACATCCTCCTCCTAGCAGTGTTGGTGAGCCCCATTTCATTTTGCGGTTATGCATCTTTTGTTCCTTATGTATTGTACTTGAGATATAATCGGTGTCTTATTGCCAGCACTTTTGTTGTACTCTTTTGTATCTATTATAGGCTTCGTGAACATAGTGTGGATTGTATATGGGTGCTGGGGAAGCCAGACGAAATATTGTTGTGTTTGAATTATTTATTCCACTTCTAACTATGAAACAAATATGTATATTTTAAGATTTTAAGATAAAGTAACTAATGAAATGATGTAGCATTGTATTCATGACCTCCCTATTATCTAACTAATGAAAATATGTCCTCTCTCTGTTCATGAGTGAGTTTCGGTAGAAGGAATCTAATAGGCTTGCTCAGCCGAGTTCACTCGGTTAAATACCGGTTATGCTTTTTATGTTTGGGGCGTGACAACATTTAAGGCATTACATCTCAGCACAAGGTGTTTCCACTGACCTTAAGAAGATAGAAGCAGAACAGTCTTGGCCATTGCCTACTTCTATCAAGTTGCTGAGAGGATTTCTTGGGTTAGCAAGGTATTACAGAAGATTCATCAAAGGATATGGCATTATCAACAAACCACTGACTAACCTCCTCAAAAAGATGACTTTATGTGGTCTGATAAGGCTAATGAAGACTTTTAGACACTTAAAACAACACTAACAATTATACTAGTGTTGAGTCTACCAGATTTTTCTCTAACATTATGGTAATAGATGCTTGTAATGTAGGGATATGAGCAGTTTTAATGCAACAAGGAAATATCATTGCCTTCCTAAGCAAAGGATTATCCGCAAAACATCAATCATTATCTGTGTATGATAAAGAACTTTTGGCACTTGTGATAGCTGTAAACAAGTGGTCTCAGTATCTGACTGTAGAAGCTTTATTGTTAAAATAGACCAAAAGGTACTCAAATTCCTACTTGATCAAAGCTTTACACCGGGGCTCATTGAAGTGGATCACCAAACTTATGCAACATGACTTCATAATTGAGTACAAAAAGGGCAAACAGAACAAGGCAACTGATGCTCTTTCTAGGTTACCCTTGCTTGAACTAGAAACCATGACCTTATCTTTCGTGAGAACTGATATGTTAGATATGATTATGCAAAGTTGGGATAAGGATCCTACTCTAAAAAGTCTGATTCAATCCTTAAGGGAAGGAAATGCTAAGAATAAAGGATATAGACTGACTCATGAACAACTAAGAAAGAATGGGAGGTTAGTGGTTGGTCCTGATGCTCAATTGAGGAAGGAAATTATGCAACTATGGCATGGTTCATCAGTTGGGGTCATTCTGTCATTGACCATACCTACAGAAGGATAACAACTTTGTTTTATTGGAAGAAGATGAGGGAGAATATACAAGCTTATGTCAAATCTTGTGATGTATGCCAGAGGCATAAATATGACAATGCACCCTATCCAGGACTACTATAACCCAACAAGATACCAGTAGCAGCTTGGAGCAACATCAATATGGATTTTATAGAACGACTACCAAAATCCAAAAGGTAAGACAGTCATTTGGGTGGTAGTAGATAGTTTAACTAAATATGCCCACTTCATGGGGTCTTGCTAAAATCTTCTTGGAACAAGTTTACAAGTTACATGGTCTGCCTGAGGATATAATAAGTGAAAGAGATCCCATATTCACAATAAAGATTTAGAAGAAGCTTTTCTCTATGATGGGAGTAACACTCAACACTTCCATAGCCTATCATCCCCAGACAGATAGTCAAACAAAGGTGGTTAATAGGTGTTTGGAAACTTATCTCAGGTGCTTCTGTTCTAATTCTAGTCAGACTGGTTTTCCTATCTAGCTGCAGCTGAGTTTTGTACAATACTGCATTCTACACTTTCATTCAGTATACTCCTTATGAAATCTTGTATGGTCAACCACTACCCCTCCATTTGCCTTACTGCTGGGGATTCTGTACTAGAAGAAGTTGATGGAAGTCTGCTCACCAGAGAATTTAAGTTGCAGTTGCTTAAGTATCATTTGCAAAGAGCACAACAGAGAATGACAGAGCAAGCTAATAAACACAGGACGGATAGGCAATTCAATGAAAGGGATTGGGTTTATCTAAGGATCCAACCTTACAGATAACTCACAATGTCAAGCAGCCATTTCTCTAAGTTTTCTACAAGATACTATGGCCCTTATCAAATTCTGGAAAAAAAATGAAAATGTTGCATATAAGTTGGCACTACCCTCTTAGTTACTCTTACACCCTACTTTTCATGTATCTTAGCTCAAGGCTTGCTATGACTTACCTGCGAATATTACCCATCCACCAGTGCTTGATTTGTCTAGTCCATATTGTCCACAACCTGATAAGATTTTGGACATGCGCATGATTCAGAAGGGGAATAAAGGTGTAGCGCAAGTGTTGATTCAGTGGGAATACTTGCCTCCTAAACTAGCTACTTGGGAAGACTATAGAGCTTTGAAGATTCAATTTATTACCTTTCTTCCTTGAGGACAAGGAAGGCTTTAACAGGGGAATACTTATATAAGTGAAGTGCAGTGATTGTACATGAAGCAGAGTGAAGAGTACATTACGGATTAAATTAATTATAAGGAGTAATAGAGTCAAGTTAGTATATTACACTTTTGACCAACAACAACGATCCAGTAAAATCCTCCTAGAGCTGTAACAACAAAAACCCAAAATAATATCAGTAACATGAGAGATAACAAATAAATGAAAAGGCAAAAAAATAAATTTTATGCAAAAGTGTGAAAGATAACATAAATCGCTAGCAGTGCTCGATAAAACACTATCATACTCGCCGGAACAAAGAGGGGAACAAGGAAAAAGAGGAAAATCGCTCGACTACCCCTTAACCTACAACCCTAATGCTCGACCTCCACACCTTCCTATCAAGAGTCATGTGCTCAGAAATCTGGAGTCGCGCTATGTCCTGTCTGATCACCTCGCCCCAATACTTCTTAGGTCGCCTTCTACCTCTTCTCGTACCTGCCAAATCCAACCGCTCATACCTCCTAATCGGGGCATCTAGGCTTCTCTTCTACACATGTCTGAACTATCTAAGCCACGCTTCCCGCATTTTATTGTCCATCAGAGCCACGCCCACCCTTTTCCGGATATGTTTATTTCTAATCTTATCTAGCCTAGTATGCCCACACATCTATCTCAACATCCTCATTTCTGCTACTTTCATCTTCTGGATATGTGAATTCTTGACTGGACAACACTCAGCCCTATACAACATGGCCGATCTAACCACGGCTCTATAGAATTTACCTTTGAGTTTCGGTGGCACATTCTTATCGCACAAGACTCCAGACGTTAACCTCCATTTCATCCACCTCACTCCAATACGGTGCGTAACATCCCCGTCGATCTCCCCATCTCCCTGGATAATTGACCCTAAGTACTTAAAACTTTCTCTCTTGAGGATGACCTAAGAGTCAAGCCTGACTTCCAAATCCGCATCCCCCGCCACATTGTTGAACTTACATTCCACATATTCCATCTTAGTCCTACTCAACTTGAAACCTTTAGACTCTAGGGCCTACTTCCATACCTCCAGTCTCTCATTAACGCTGTCTCGCATCTCATCAATCAGAACTATATCATCAGCGAACAACATACACCATGGCACCTCACCTTGTATATGGTGTGTCAGTGCATCCATCGCTAGGGAAAATAAGAACAGGCTGAGCGCCGATCCTTGGTGTAACCCCATAACCACCAAAAAAAGGCTTTGAGTCACCTCCCACATTCTAAATCCGAGTCATAGCTCCATCAAACATATCCTTTATCGCCCTAATGTAAGCCACCAGCATACCTTTCACCTCCAGACACCTCCAAAGGACATCCCTAGGGACCTTGTCATACGCCTTCTCTAGGTCAATAAACACCATATGCAAATCTCTCTTCCTATCCCTGCATTGTTCCACCAACCTCCTGATAAGGTGGATAACTTCCGTAGTAGAATGACCCGACATGAACCCGAACTGGTTTTCGATATAGACACTGCCCTCCTTATCCTCCCTTCCACCACCCTCTCCCAAACTTTCATGGTATGAATTTTTAACTTGATACCCATATAGTTGTTACAATTCTGAATATCCCCTTTGTTCTTGTACACCGTAACCATTGTGCTCCACCGCCACTCATCAGGCATCCTATTTGTCCTGAAGATAACATTAAATACCTCAGTTAGCCACTCCAATCCTGCTCTACTCGTATATTTCCAAAATTCTACGAAAAAACTCGTCTGGTCCGGTCGCTTTGCCTAGAGTCATCTTACCCATCATACCCACAACCTCCTCAACCTTAATGCGCCTACAATACCTAAAGTAGCGATGGCTCTCAAAGTGCCCCAATTACCCTAACATGATGTTTCCATCCCCCTCTTCATTCATAAATTTATAAAAGTACGACTGCCATCTTTGCTTAATCTGGGCCTCTTCTATCAATACTCGACCTTCCTCGTCTTCGATGCACCTTACTTGATCTAGGTCGCGAGCCTTCTTCTCTCTCGTTTTGGCCAGCCAAAATAACTTCTTGTCCCCATCTTTGCCCCTAAGTTCCTTATACACCCAACAAAATGCAGTAGTCTTAGCCTCTGTGACCACTAATTTCGCCTCCTTCCTAGCCTCTTTATATCTTTCTCTATTCGCTCTCCTCTAATTCTCATCGGTACTCTCTACTAACTTAAGGTAAGCCGCTTTCTTGGCTTCCACTTTACCTTGTACCACGTCATTCCACCACCAGTCGCCTCGATGCCCGCCAGCGTGACCTTTCAAAACTCCCAATACCTCTCTCGCTGCCTACCTTATACAGTCTACTGTCCTCATCCACATAGCGCTAGC